TAGGGGTGTGGGGCGTTTTGAATCCTAGCTGTCTTTGGAGAAGGGACACAGCCCAGGAAGTCGGGGTGTGACCCCGGCCCAGGAGACCCCTGAAAAGGTGGGAGTGAGCCTCTGGGAGGGCAGGCATCTGCTCAACTTCTGCCCACCCCCAGGACGCGGGAGGTTTGGCCGCGGCCACAGCAAGAGGGGGGCCCCGTGGGAGGGCCAGGGCCTCCAGGGCTGGTGGCGGTGGGGAAGGCAGGAGGCCGGCCCAGACACTGCTCCTGCCCTTTTACGGTCTCACAGTGAGTGAGGCAGCACTAACTCGGACATCCGCCATCCGCCTTCCACGGTGCCTGGGACCGGAAACGCGGGGGGTGGGGGTGAGGGGCGGGGCTGGGGGCAGCGGGAGAGAAGAGTCCCTGAGGAAGAGGGTGACGGAAAAGAGCCTCGCTCTTGCAAGCTGCCCCCTCTCCAGGGCAGGCCTTGAAGGGATGTTGCCATAATGGGGAAGGGACAGGCAGGAAGTCTTGAGGTGTCTGTGGGTGTCCCCTTGCTCCAAATTTTCCAACAATTGCTTTCACATCGGAAGGGACAAACAGGGAAGGAAGGAGGGTTCTCTGATGGTCAGAAAAAGGAATGCCGCCCAGATGTCAGAGGGCAGGGGTGTGGGAATCGGGGAGGAAGTGGGCATCAAGGGGTTAAAAATCCCCAGTCGTCCCCAGGGGCCTCCCCCTCAGCCTGGGGGCTTTGGGGCAGGAAGTCCCAGAGAGAGTGGAGGAAAGGAGATAGTATTGTCAGGCTCTGGCCCCAAGGGAGAGATTATGGGGGCCAAGGGAGGGGAGAATGGAGGGGGCTTAGCTGGGTCCCCCAGCCTGCACCGGCCCCGCCCTCAGGTGAGCCCAGGAGTTCGGGGAGGCCGGGCGAGACATAATCCCTGGGTCCCTCCACCCCCAGGATTAAATTCCTGGGAAGATAGCTGGAACTATCTGGGAAGCCTGGGTCTCTGGGGAAGAGGGCTATGACCTTGAAGGTTTCCAGCGCCCCTTCTCCAACCCCAGGGCTCTGGGGGGCTGGGGGGCTGGTGAGCAAGGCGGGAGGGGCACTGGGGAAAGCAGCCGGCCCATCCGCTCCTAGCCTGCCCCCCCCACACACACACCAGCTGTCTCGACAGGTGAGTCAGGAAGACAAAGGGCCCCCTTCCCCCAGCTGCCGCGCCCCCTCCCTCCCCAGGGCCGCACAGGTGGGGGAGAGAGGCCGCCCTTAAGGCCCAGGGCCTGGGCGCCGCCCTCCACACTGAGCGCTCGCTAGCTCCTAGGCATGGCCAGTTTTAAGCAGATTGTGTGTGTGGAGCGACGGGGGAGGGGAGTCCCAACCAGACCCTGGACATCGACTCTGGGTCCGTGGGTCCGTTCACACCAACCTCCTCCACAGGAGGATCTAAGTGCCCCCCCAAATTTAAGGGGTTAAGAAGTACCCCCGAAGTTAAGGAGGATGGTCCCACTTGGGGAGACTTTTTCCAGCACCACGTAAACGGGGACCCTTCAAACAGGGTCTGCGACCCAGTCTCCCTTCTAGGTCCCAGGTTCTCCCTAACCAGCCCCCCACAATCCGTCCTGGACCTCAAGTTGAAGTTTAGGGGGAGTCTGAGCCCTACCTAAATCCTGGCATCCCTCCGGGGAGTAGCTGCCAACTTAGAGGTCCTCAGAAAAGTCTTTAAAATGTGGGAGTCCTCGGAGCGCCCCCCAAATCTGAGAGCTCCCAGGAGAGCCTTACCGGCACCACCCCGAGCCTTGGGAGTCGTGGGGGAGGTGGTCAATATCTGGAGCCCGTCCAAGGAGATTCAACCCAAGTCTGAGGGTCCCAGTTGCCTGTCCCCCAAATTCCAGCCGGGAGCCAGCTGGGGGGGAGGGGGACAAAGGCGGGGCAGGAGCCCGCGCGGGGCGGGCGGGGAAGGGTCAGGAAGCCGCGCGGGGGCTCACCTCATGGCTGCTCGGCGGCGGGCGGCGCGCCCGCGGGCTGGGTGCTCCCGGGGCGCCCCTGGCTCGAGGTTCAGGGGTTCGGGGCTGGCTCCAGGCTCTGCTCAGTCTCCCCCAGGGTCCCGCCCCATAGAGTCCGGCTTCCTGGAGGGGAACGAGAACCCGGCCGGGACAGGTCCCGCGGCGCCTCCTCCCGCTGGTGCTTGGAGGGGGGGACCCCTGCGGCAGAAAGGGGGTGCGGCGTCCCCGACCCGGCGCGCCCCCTCGGCCGGCGGCGGCTACAATGTTACTCTTACTACTGTACTTCTCTTCGCTACATTTCGTTCCAAAATTCCACTCCCCGCACCCACAATGCCCCGCGCCTTAAAGGGGCCGCGCACACCTCCAGGCGGGGGATGGAGGGCGCTTAAAAGGGCAACTCGGAACCCTCGACTTCCGCAATTTCCCTCTTTCCCCGGCGTTACTGCATGGGGGTGCGCCCTGGACGTCACCCTCAAACTGGGGGGCAAGTTTGGTGGAGGGGGAGGGGTCCCCCCTTGATCCCTAGCTCTCTCCCACTGTGGGAATTCTTGGGGGAATCTCGATGGCCGGAGCCCTCCCGTCCTACTCGCCCATGGACTTCTCCATTTCTTAATCTTCTGCTCAATTTTGGGGGGCGAGGAGGACCCCTGGCTAAGCAAGGGGTCTCAAATTTTCTCCCTTAAATCCCTCCTTTGGAACCCCCAACGTCCGTCCTCTCCCTTACTGTACGTGGGGTTGCGAGGGGGGAGCCCTTTCCCCGCGCAGGAGGGCGCGGGCGGCGAGGGCCCCACCCCTCTCGCGGCCGCCCGCCCGCCCGGGAAGGTGAGGAGGAAGTGGGCCGAGGGGGCGCGGTCGGCCGCTGACTCACAGCCGCAGGGTCGGGGTGGGTGGGGGTGGGGACAGCAGGGGAGGGCCGGGGCGGAGGGTCCGGCGCTGGCCCGGGTGGCGGTGGGACTCCAGGATCCCGCGTGGATAAGCCCCTGACCCCTGCCCCGCATGCCCCGCTATGACTCAGTTTCGCCGGCGCAGGACGGCGGGATCATCCCAGCGGTCCGAAGGGCCAGAGGTGGGGACACCTTCCCAGGTGCCGGCTCCCGGAGCCCCCTCCCCCACAGGCCGGCTCGGGGCTGAGCCCAGGCGCCCTCCAAGGCTTCCGCCGCGGGTCCAGCAGGCCCCGCCCCCGGTGACGTCACTCGCGCGGTCGCGCCCCTTCCGTAGAGCGCCACCTGGCCTGGGTGAGGTGCCCTAGCCCTGGGAAATCTTCAGTTCCACGTTTACACGTGGGTAAACTGAGGCCTGGAGGAAAGGCATAAATTTGGCCGATGGCCCTCTTGCCTGAGCTCCCAGAACCCCCAAAGCGAAGGGATGAGTGTAAAACCAGCAATTCTCAGGGCCCAGCTGATTGGTGAGAAAAATCAACTTTTCCAGCCTTTGTCCCAGCCCGGTCCTCTGCCTGGATGCTGTCCTGGGGACTGCTTCGTCCTTCTAGACCAACCTCTGCATTACTTCTTCTGTGAAGACGTGGGTGACCCTCTCCCCTTCTCCACGCCACTCTGGGAGACCTTGGACCCTGATCCACCTGGGTTATAATCCTTTCTCTGTGTGTCTCCAGCCTGTGAGTTCTTCAGGGGCAGGAGTTGACTTAATTGGTTTCCGGAGCTCACCCAAGCCAGCCAGGCCCAGAATGCAGCTCAACAGACATTTAGCCAACTCAGTGAGAACCCCGGTTCTGCGTGACCTTGGGCAAGTCCTTTCTCCTCTCTGGTTCGCAGCTTTCCCATCTGTGAAATAGGAGGTGTGGCACTTGTGGGTGCCGCCCGTGCTACAGCAGGAGTCAGCAAACTTTTTCCCTAAAGATGAAAATAGTAAATATTCTAGGCATATTAGACATAGGATCTGGTTTCCATATTTTTTCTTACAACCCTTTAAAAATGTGCAAACTGTTGTTGGCTCTAATGTCATACAGACACATGGCAAGACCCCTGCGTTAGAGAACTTTCGCCTCTGTGCACAAGGAGCCTGAGCAAGGATCTTTATGGCAGCAGTTTTGTGAGGACAAGAAATTGGAAATAACTTAAATGTCCGTCAAGAGGAAAGAGTGAAACCCTTGCACATCCCTTGTCTGAAGAGTAGGCAGCATTCAAAAAGAATGAGATACGTAAATGACATGAAGGATTCTTCTATGTATTACTGAGTGGAAAAAAACCAAGTTGCTTAATGATACATAGGTATGAAAAAAATCAGGCTGGGCGTGGTGGCTCAAGCCTGTAATCCTAGCTCTCTGGGAGGCCGAGGTGGGTGGATTGCTCGAGGTCAGGAGTTCAAAACCAGCCTGAGCAAGAGTGGGACCCCATCTCTACTACAAATAGAAAGAAATTAAAATTAATTGGCTAACTAATATATATAGAAAAATTTAGCCGGGCATGGTGGCGCATGCCTGTAGTCCCAGCTACTTGGGTAGGCTGAGGCAGGAGGATCGCTTGAGCCCAGGAATTTGAGGTTGCTGTGAGCTAGGCTGACACCACGGCACTCACTCTAGCCTGGGCGAAAAAGTGAGACTGTGTCTCAAAAAAAAAAAAAAAAGAAAATCAATGAAATACCTAAGATACCCTATACATGTGTGAACACGCAGAGTAAAAGGTCTAGAAAAGTCCACTCCAAATTCATTGCAGGGGTTGCCAATGGGATGGGGAGTGGGACTGTAGGGAATTTCGTGGTCACAGAGATTCTAAGGCTCATCTTAAAAATGCCAAATTCAATCCTGCTTCTCTGCCTTCGCACTGGCTATTCCCTAGGCCTTGAGATGTTCTTCTCTGGGGTATTAGGGTGGCTGTCTCCTTTTCTGTTAGTTCTCTGCTCAATCGTCTCCTTCTCAGAGACTTTCTCTGATCCCCCTGTTTAAATCAGCCACCCCAAGATGGAAAACTGAGTGATCAAAGGGCAGAGGACAGAGAAAGACTTTTCATTGTACACCATCTTGTATACCCTTTGTATGTCAAACTAAGAGAATTCATTTCCCATTCACAAACTAAATGAATTAAGTAAAATTTTAAAATAAAAATTTGACATTAAAAAAAACCCTCAAAGTAGCTCTCCTAGTCATTTTCTCATCATGTTCTCTGTTTTATTTTCTTTATGACACTTGTTCGTGTCTGAGATGACTTCATTTTCTGGTTCCCTTGTCTGCTGTCTCTCTTAACTTAGGAGGCCATCCCCAACGGGGCAAGGGTCTTGGTGGCCTGGACTGGTTCATGGCTGTGGGGGGTGGGGGGCTAGCACACAGCGGGTGCCCAATACATATTTTGCCAACTGACTAGGCAACTAATGTTTGTTTTTACAAGACAATGTATTTGGAATCACTTATGTAATTAAAATTTAATAAAGACTCTCCCCGATGTCCCCTTGAAAACAAATGAAAAATAGGAAGAAATTATTGAACTGGGTGATCGCTCAGAATCTGTTCACTCTAAATATTTCAAAAACATTTGGTTGGGTTTTTTTTGTTTTCTTATTCTGGTCTGCATGGTGGTGGAATTTCCCCTCTCATAAGACTTTTCTGTAAGGAAGTAGGAAAAGGGGAAACAGGCATTCTGGGGTTCCTCCAGCGCTTGTCTTCCTTCCTCTGGTCCACGTAGCTGGGGAAGGGGGCAATTTTCTTCCTGAGTTCTGTCGAGGCCCCAGCTGAGCGGAGGGTCCCCAAAGGACGACAGTTGTTAGGCCTCCAAGTCCAAGATGGAACCCGAATGGGTGCGGGTGAGCTTCTCCGCCCCATCTCGCCCTTTCTGTAACACAAAATGTGGGAGAAAATGAATAGGAACCCCTCCCTGCCTCTCAGCACCTACTCCCCTGCCTCTGGAAGCAGCACTGTTTCCCTCTGAGGGACCACCATAGCCCATCTGTCAGTCCACCCGGGTTTGGGTGGAGTGCACCCCAACCCCAAAGGCTAGGGTTGGGCGTGTGACCCCAGGCTGGCCAATCACGTGCCCAGTGACTGATCGGGCACGTGACCCCGCGTGGCCAATGAGAAGCAGCCCTGGGGCAACTGCAGGGGGGGGATTGGCTAGCTCTCTCCTTCCACTGGGGTGGCAGGCTGGTGGGGTGTGCGCCTCGAGATGCAACTCTCTACTGCCCCATGAGACACCCCGCAAGGGAATGAAGCCAACTCATAGGAAAAAAATCTAAGAGACGGTTCCTGATGCCATCCTCTGACAACCAGATGCAGCCATGCCTTAAGGCCCTGAACTCTTCAATGACATGGTCCAGTAAATTCCATCTTGCTTTCGTGGGTTGGATTGGGTCTCTGTCACTCACAACTCAAAGAATACTGACAAGTACCTCCTTATGCTACTGGGAAATTGTCAACGGTCCCCCGTCATCCACATGATATTCAGCAAGTTTCCTTCTCTGCCATGCAGAGGCCATGGGGCTCTGGCCCCAGCTTCCTCCCTCACATTTCCACCCTGACCCCTCCCCCCGCCTTGGCGCACCCCCACCTCTTTGGACAGCTCCAAATTCCCCTCTGCTATGTAAGCCCAATTACAACCTCTCTGTTCAAGACCTGGAAGGCTCTCAGAGATGTCCTGATGGTATCTGCTGTGCATTCGGGCTTTGGAATTGGTCATTAACATTCCCTGAATTTTTCTGTCTGCGTGCAGGGACCTGCTTGGGATGGGGGCCTTTACAGAGCATTATGGGGCTACATTTCTTGAAGGGAAGCACAGTTTCTTCTCTGCATCCTTCTCTCATGCCTAGCACAATGCTTCAGGGCTAGGAGTGAGAATGTATTGATGCATCAGGCAAGTCCCTTGTCCTTACTGGCTTTAATTTTCCCACCACTAAGAGGGTTAGAGGGGCCTGGATGAAATGCTCCTAAAAGAAACACTGGAGAACATTCGAGAAACATTCAAGTGCTGGTCCTTACCTGCCAGCACTCTTCTGAGGCCTGGCAGAGCTGAGAATAAGCTTCAGCGATGACATTGGCCCTGGAGAGCAGAAGGGGAGAGCCCTCAGAAGGGGCTGTTCTCCTACCACGCCACCCCCCATTCCACCCCACTCCACCCCACCCTAACTCACTTGCAGTACAGCCCTCCCCCAGGAGGTAAATCTGGGATGTCCTCTGAGGCCAGAGTTGTAAAAACTGTGTTTAGGCTGGGGGGCTCCTGAGCAGAGGCACACAGCTCTAAGAAAAAAAGCAAGAGTTATGGGACAATCCTTCCTTGCCAACTGCCCCTCCTACTTCATGTGCCTGCTCACCAGCGACTCTGCGGCCCAGGGCTGTGTCCAATGTCAGCTCCCTCCTCATCGCCTCCTCACAAGGCCCGGGAGCCCCAGGGAAGCAGACCAGGATGCAGGTCATGTTGTCCAGGCTGCCCTGAAGAGGGTGAAGAAAAGGGAGCCCAGTGGGAGACAATTGAAGGCAGAGCTCCTCCAGCAGTCCCGGTGTTCAAGTCCTCCCTCCTCAATCTGCTTATGCCCCTTTCTCTCAGGTCCCACCCACCTGCCAGTCTTCTCCCACTTGGCCCCATACCTTAGATCACGTCGCCGCCCTGTCCTAGACTCCTCCTATTTAATATTAAAACATAACCACGGCCGGGCACAGTGGCTCAGGCCTGTAATCCTAGCACTCTGGGAGACCGAGGCGGGCTGAATGCTTGAGGTCAGGAGTTCAAAACCAGCCTGAGCAAGAGCGAGACCCCCGTCTCTACTATAAATAGAAAGAAATTAATTGGCCAACCAATATATATAGAAAAAAATTAGCCGGGCATGGTGGCGCATGCCTGTAGTCCCAGCTACTCGGGAGGCTGAGGCAGTAGGATCGCTTGAGCCCAGGAGTTTGAGGTTGCTGTGAGCTAGGCTGACGCCATGGCACTCACTCTAGCCTGGGCAACAAAGCGAGACTCTGTCTCAAAAAAAAAAAAAAGATAACCACACTCCTCTGAGTTCCGCCTACTCTGCTGTCTACCTGCTTTTCCATTTGCGACACTAATCATACCACATGCTCTGGCCCTAAGGCTTGCAAGGGTCCCATTCCAAAAGACCACGCCCCTTCTCTTAAATCCCTCCCATTCACCTACCCTGCGCTACTTCTCTCCGGTTGTGCTTCAAAGCCCTCAGGCTCCGCCCTCCCTATATTTGGGTCCCGCCCATTCCAGTAGCCACGCCCCCGCCTTCTCTAGCTATATTCTAGCGAGCCTCTCTATCAAAGCCCCAGAGGTTCCTGTTCTGTAGCGCACCAAGTCTCAATCATGCCACACCCCACCCCCAGGACCTTGCACAGACACGTGTCCAAAAGCTGCGCGCAGAGAAGCTCTGGGGCCAGGCCCAAGCGGAGGCGGGAAGCCACCAGCTCCACCAGGGCAGCGCCAGACATAGCGTCCCACACGCCGTCAGAGGCCAGGACCATGAACTCGTCCTCAGCCTGCCGCGCCAGTGCGGCCACCTCAGGCTCAGCGGAAACGAGCTGCAGCTCGGGGGGCCTCCCCCGAGCCTCCTTGTAGGCAAAGTCGCCCAGTGCTCGCGACACAGCCAGAGAGCCTTCGATGCGCCGGCGGCGGATGGTGCCGCCCGCGTCGTGGATGCGCTCCCGTTCCCGGGGCCGGAGAGGCCGGTGGTCCTCGGTGCTGAAGGCCACGGCGCCGGCACGGCTCAGCACCGCGCGAGAGTCACCGCAGTGCGCCAGGTATAGAAAGCTCGGGGAGACAAGCAATGCCACCGCCGTGGAGCCACCCGGTTCGCCGCGGGGCCAGAGCGAGCGCAGGCGTTCGTCTGCGTTCAAGAAGGCTCGGCGCAGCGCCCAGCGCACGCCCTCGGGCTCGCCAGGCGCGGGGCCCAGCGCCTCGAGCACGTGGCCTGGCAAGTGGCGCGCGCCAAAGCGAGCCGCTCGCGCCCCTCCGTGGCCGTCGAGGACAGCGAAGAAAGCCCAGCCAGGGGGCAGCCCAGGTAACGCGAGCCAAGCGCAGTGCGCGTCCTCCATGCGCGCGCGCCAGCCCTGCGCGGCGCTAGCTCCGAAGCGCAGTCCCCACGACGCCGCGGCACCCCCGTGTGGCTGCTGGGCGCATCGCGGCGCGGCCAGGAGAGACTGAGGCCCGTCGAGGGCCCTGCGCCCCGCCTCCCCCTCCTCCTCCCCCTCCTCCACCTCCTCCTTTTCCTTGCGAGCAGACCAAAGGAGACGCTCCAGCAGGCGGGCAAGGGCCGCCATCCTTCAGCCCTGAGATCAGGAAGGCTCCGCCCTCTACACCTGGCCCCCCTCCACTAATCCCCTTCGCTGTGAGGTTTTAAACTATCTAAATCTCCTTCCTGTCCCTTGACCTGCACCTAAGTCGGGTCACTAGAAGGAACTGCACTTCTGGTTCTCTACGCTCCCGGGATTTGGGATCTGGATTAGGAAAAAATAATAATACTGTGGTAGCAAACTATTATATAGCACTTACCATGTGTCACACACCATTAAACATCATCATCTCCAACTTACGGGAAGAGGAAACTGAGTCACAGAAGAAGTAATCGGTGTTCCAGGGAAATGAACACTAGAATCTGTTCTCAACAGGACATGCATGGTTTCAGTCCAAGCTCCGCCCACCTCATTGGTACAGACCACCCCCCCAGCCTCAAAACCTTTAAATACTGTACTTTTTTAGCTCGACCCCTCCCCTGTGGCCCCCAACCCCGGCCTTCGGTTGCTTTCTCTTCCAAGTCTCGCCCATCACTTCAAGCACGCAGCCTCAGACCCTTCCAATTTTCGCAGTCTGGGCATCGCTTGTAACTCCGACCTCGCCCAATTATTTGAATAAACTATAAATTGGTTTAAGCCCCACCCATGTCTGAGTTCCTGCCCTTGCCTCAAAAGTTTGAGTCGTTTCTTCCCGCCCCCCTTTCCCACTGCCTCTGCGAGACTAGGCTTGGATCTAACCTCGGAGTCTTAGAATCTTTCTACCCCCTCCTCAATGACTAGCTCCGCCCCAGCCCACTCTGAGATCCAGGCCCTCATCCTCCCGCCAAAGCCCCTTCACCTTGCTCTCCCGGACCCCTCACCTACCCTAGGCCCCGCCCCTCTCCCCCTAAAGGCCGCTCTGGGTTCCAAACCCCGCCCCCCGGGCCGCTTTCCACTGCGTCCTGGCCCAGTCGCCTACCTCCTAGCTCCGCCCCTCTAGTAAAAAGCCCCGCCCCTCCCACGCGAGCTCCTCGCTGTTTCCCCGCCCCCTCGCCCTCCCTCAGGTCCCGCCCGGCCTGGCTCTGGCCCCGCCCCCGGCCCCGCGCTGCAGTGCCTTCCCACCGCTGCCCCGCCCGCCCCCGCCGAGCCGAGCCGAGCAGAGGGCGGCGGCGACGGCTGCTGGAGCGGCCGGGGAGGAGGAGGCGGCGAGGATGGCGGCGGCGTCCTGGGCGCGGCGGAGATGAGCTCCAGCGGCCCCGGGCCCAGGGCGGCGCGGCCGGAGTGGGCGGGGGTCCCGATGCAGGCCCGAGGGGGGCCATGGGGCAGGTCCTGCCGGTCTTCGCCCACTGCAGTGAGTAGAGGGAGGTTTGGGCCTTGGTGTGGGGCCTGGAGGCCCAGGTGGGGTCCTCCCTGGTATCCCCTCCGCGCCTGCCCGCGGGAGAGCTGGGATGGGGGGAGGAGGCGAAGGAGACAAAGGAAGCTCTCCCCTCCCCCCGCGCTCTGGCCGGCGACTGGGGCAGTCTGACCCGGAGGACCTGGGTGAAACAGGGCGCAGGTAGGGGGGTACCGAGATAACCGGCGAGGGGCGGGCTGGGCACCGGGTTGTATCGCCTGGCCCCGCCCGGGAATGAGGACGCGCGCAGGGAGCTGTCCCCTGGCTCTGGTGCTGGCCGCAGCTGGCCGGGAGGGGTTGAATGGAGGGCTAGAGCCAGGATGGAAAAGAGGGGTCTGGCTCCCCATCACTTATCTTCGAAGCCTACCCCTGTTTTCTGCCCAAGAGGCACCCCTGACCTCGCCCAAATTGTCCAATCCCCTGTCCCCGGAAAACAGCCATCCCTGGGTTGGGGCAAGGACTTGTGGGTCCTTAGCAGGCTTTACCGCTGATTAGTGGTAACCCTGGGGAAGTCCCACTCGGCTCCAGCCCTCTGATTCCTCAGCTGAGGGTGGGAGGGGGCGTCAAATTTCAATTTCCAGACAGTATTGAGAATCTCCTGTGTGCAAAGCCCCAGGCTAACTCTGAAGGGCTGGATTCCCGATTCAAAACTCTTGGCCTGATCCCCACGATCTCTGAGCTCAAGACCATAACAGTCCATGTCAACTGTCTGTCCCACACCCAGGGGGCTGACAGCTGGGGATTTCAACACTCTCAGATCTAGCTACTTGCATGTCTTGAGTGTCCAGATGCCAAAATTGTAAGAATCTGTGGTTTCAACATGTTAGAGTATCATCCTGACATTCTTAGATCTTGTCCTTACTTTGGACTACAAAGGAAGGACCTGCTGATCCCCCCTCTTACCTCTCTGCCCTCATCTCCCATCTCGTCCCCATCAGTCGCCCTGTTCCTCAGATTTGACAAGCATAACGCCTGCATCAGGGCCTTTGCACGGCCTTTGCACTCTGCCTGGACGATTCTTCCCTATACATGTGCATGGCTTCCTCACTTCATTCGGCTCTCTGCTCAAATATCTTATCAGAGAAGCCTTCCTGACCATGCCGTCTGAAACAGCACATCTTTACTTTCATGAGTACCTTGCCTTATTTTACTCCCTGCACTCATCCGCACCCAACATCATATATTCACTTGTTTATTGCCTGTCTCTTCCAGAGTGTTAGCTCTATGAGAGCAAGGATCTTGTCTGTTTTATTCACAGCTGTATCCGTACGAGCTAGAACAGTGCCTGGCACATAGTAGGTGTTCAATAAATGGTTGTTGAAGGAATGGATCGAAACTTTCTAAGGTTCCTAATTTGAAGATTCCACCATTAAGGTTCCTGGCTTTGTACTTCTAAGACTCTGAGCCTCTGATGGCAGTGAATGCAGAGTCTGTACGTAGAATGTTCTAAAAGTCCCGTGATTCACATATTCTAAGACTCCTTAATTCGGACTGTCCAAGATTCCAGGACTGGCACGCTTCTGTGATTCGGACAGTCTAAGCTCCTAAGAGTGTTCGATTCTTTCCCTCTCGCAGAGGAAGCTCCGTCTACCGCCTCCTCTACCCCCGATTCCACGGAAGGTAGGCGACGGGGAGACGTGAGGGTGTTCACTGCGGGGCGGTCGGCGTGCTGCAGAGGCGCTTACGTGGGTCCCCTTCACCCTCTGCAGGAGGGAACGACGACTCAGATTTTCGGGAGCTGCACACAGCCCGGGAGTTCTCGGAGGACGAGGAGGAGGAGGAGACTACTTCGCAGGACTGGGGCACCCCCCGGGAGCTGACTTTCTCCTACATCGCCTTCGATGGTATAGTGGGCTCCGGGGGCCGCAGGGATTCGGCTGCCCGCCGCCCCCGGCCCCAGGGCCGCTCAGTCTCAGAACCGCGAGACCCGCACCCTCAGTCTGGCCTGGGCGACAGCTTGGAGAGCATCCCCAGCCTGAGCCAATCCCCCGAGCCCGGACGCCGCGGCGATCCCGACACCGCTGCCCCGGCCGAGCGGCCCCTGGAGGACCTCAGGCTCCGGCTGGACCAGCTGGGCTGGGCGGCCCGCGGAGCGGGATCCCGGGAGGACTCTGCCACCAGTAGCTCCACCCCGCTGGAAGACGAGGAACCCGATGGGTCGGAGGCGGGAGAAGCTGCGGAAGGTGAGATGTCCCAGGTGCTGGGACCAAAGCCAAGAGGGTGGGTGGTCTCTCCTCGGGGCACCTCCAAGGAGAAAGCTCACGGCCTTCTCTCTCTACCGCGCCAGAATTGGACCTACAGCTCCGACTTGCTCAATCCTCCCTGCCAGAGGTCTTGCCTCCCCAGCCCGGTCCGGGCTCTGGGACCCCCCAGGCGGGTACCCCGTCCCCACCGGGGTCTCGAGATTCGAACTCTGGTCCTGATGAGCGCTCACTGGAAGCAGAAGAGCCGTGGGGACAGCTGGAGCGGGAGCCAATCAGGGCACAGTGCTTGGATAGCACGGACCAATCAGCATTCACGTTGGGGCCACACCTTCTAGGTAAGCAGCGGGTGTGAAGGTATTCCATTGGACTACAGCGAGGCAAAGTGTGAGGACTGGCATTTGAAGGGACCAACCTCACAAAGGAACAGAGGCTAGTGGAGCAGGCAAGAGGTATTGCTATTGGCTAAACTTCATAAACTCCGGCCTTTTAAAAATGTTTCTGTTATCTGAGATTACAATTGGCTCTTTAGATATGATTCCCCGCCCACTTAAGAGTTAGTCCAGAATTCTAGCATTTGGACTGGCTGGTTGCTATAACAGTCCTCCCTCTTTTGAAGTGCTCCCCCTAGAGGTTGATTTTGTACAGGCCAAATCCCTGAAAAACCAAAGCTCTCTCCTGGATGTGACCATGGGACATTTACAAGTAAACTCTATGCCTTTTTGCTCTATTGCCTGGGCTAGAGTGCCGTGGCGTCAGCCTAGCTCACAGCAACCTCAAACTCCTGGGCTCAAGAGATCCTCCTGCCTCAGCCTCTCAAGTAGCTAGGCAGGTGCCACCATGCCCATCTAATTTTTTTCTGTTTTTAGTTGCCCAGCTTATTTTTTCCTCCTATTTTTTAATAGAGACGGGGGTCTTGCTTTTGCTCAGGCTGGTCTCGAACTCCTGACCTAAAGTGATCCTCCCACCTTGGCACTCAATCCGTGAGCCACTGCGCCCGGTCTCTATGCCTTTTAAAACTCTTCTTTTCCTTCACTACACCTGTTGGCCAGTTGTTAAGAGACCCAGCCTTACTTTAAAATATGCTCCGCCCCCAGGAACGGCCAAGGATTGGTGTAGACATCACTGCTTCTGGCTGTTTACAAGAGAGTTCCAATTTTGGAATTGTCCCCACCTCTATGGACAGCCATTGGCTGGGTACAAAGGGGCCCCGCCTCCCTACTCCCTTACTCCGGGTCCCACTGAAGTGGGCAAAATCCCCGAGAAGCAGCTGTGTCCGCGGCCTCTCTCTCTCTCGGAGCCGAGATGGGGAGTAAAGGTGGGCTTGTGGGGGGGGAGGCTGGACCCGGGCTGGGGGGTGGCGGAAAGGGGCCCAGATTGGCTCTTATCTCCCTCAAATTTGGGATATGTTTCCTGTTGGTCTGATTCCCCAGCGATGCAGGCTGGGGCTGGGGGATCGAGGGGGGCGTCTAGGGAGGGTGTGGAGGGAGCGCGGGGTCCCTGCTCCTTCCAGCCAAGGCTTTGAGGGCCAGGAACAGGGAGGCCCCCTCCCCCAGCCTTGGGCCCAGGCGGCGCTGTCACTCAGAGGCGGGATGTGCCAGCACAGCTGCGGGGTGAGGCCCCCTCCCCCCAGCGTGCCTAAACTTAGACCCCGCCTCAGGCGACCCGGCTCCTCCCCCACCCGCTGGCACGGGCCTCCCTGAGCCTGGGCCCTAAAGGGCTGGGTCTTGGGGAGGGGAGGGGGCTGCCCTACTTAGAATAAATGAGAGCATGTGTGTGCAGCAGTGAGGGAGGTCAGCCTCTGAGAGGGGCCAGTGGGGTGGGTCAGTTTCCGAGTGAGAGTGGGAGAAGGGAGAGGATCTGGAAAGAAACAGGAGGGTATTGAGCTCTTGGGTCAGGGCTCCAATGGGAGCGGATTTTCAAAGTTTAGATGGATGAGATGAAACATTTGGGTCCAGAGTTCACTGGTCAGGGTTCAGATTGGGCTCAGGAGTTGGGAGATGAGCTTAGGGTCTCAGAAAGGGGTCAGAAATTTTGCGTTAGGGCTTAGAAAGGAGTATGGTGTTATTAATACATTTAGGACATAGAAAAAATGTGTTGGTAAGGGTATTAAGCAGATACCACTTTACACCTACCAGGTTGGCAAAAGTTAAAAAACAATAACAT